TTTCCCCATACATACCCCAGAGAGCACTATGGTCCGGGGCCCAACATCGATTAGTGATCCCAGGCCCCAGGGAGACCAGGCTTGTGGCAACCAGGGCTAAGGCCTTTTCAGTGGCGGCTCCTACCTGGTGGAACGAGCTCCTGGAGGAGATCAGGGCCCTGCAGGACCTCTCACAGTTCCACAGGGCCTGCAAGACGGAGCTCTTCCGCTAGGCGTTCACTTAGGAGCCACCACTACCACCACCACCAATTGTCCTGTGGTAACAATGGGACAATTGGGATGGCCTATTATAAAGATCTAGCCACAATACTGTGATGGATTGGTACTGCTGAAGCGTAACATTTATAGGGCAATATCTATAGGTCACCATCTTGATACGACTAACTGGGTAACATCACTGAGCACTTTATTATTGTTAAGAATGTTGTTTTATTCTGTTTTTAATGTTTTGTATTGGCATATGTTGCCCTGTTTGTGAGCCGCCCTGAGGCCGTTCGCGGGGAGGGCGGGATAGAAATATAATAATAAAATAAATAAACGATTACATCTTATCCTCCTATGTCTTTTATAAATTTTATAAATTTATAACTTTTAATAAATTGTAGACTTTTAATGAGATATATGTATTTTATTGCTTTGGAATTTTACCTTCTTTTCTGTTCTGTTGTATTCTGTTTTGTTGTGCTAGATTTGTCTGTTTTGCTCAGCTGTAATGTATTGGTTTTATGCTTAAGACCTTTGGTCATATGAGCCTAATAATAAAGGAAAGGTTAAGCAATACAAACATTTGAAGAGATGCAGATTCTCTGGGCAGAAATCCATGGACCCATGGGACCAATGCTATATGTATTGTATATGTAGCTATCACTTGCTTCTCTGGATACAGGCCTAGATACAAGCCAACAGGTCCATCCTTTCTACAAGGAGTTCAAGGTAGCTTATCTTCCCCACTTTATCCCTACAACAATTTTGTGAGAAAGGCTGGGCTGAGAGATAGTGACTGGGCCCAGGTCACCCAGTAGGCTAAATGGCAGAATGAGGAATAGACCTAAGGTTTTCCTTGTCCTAGTTTAACACTATAACCACTATACTGTGCTGGATCACACTGGCTCTTCAGTTACTACATACAGGAGCTTGTTGGCACATATCCATGCTTTTTAATTTTAAATGTTTGAACAGCAGCAACAGCAAGCTTAAACTATAGTTGGAATTCCTACAAATTTAAAGGTGACTTGCCATTAGGGATGGGCACAAACTAAATATTGTGATGAATTTTGGCTGGTTCGTTCGCAAACTGAAGTTCGTGGCAGGTCAACCTGCACAAACTTTCCATGAACTTTCAAGTAGTTTGTGACAATTCGTGCCAGTTCGTGAATGGATACATTCCCAGACAGATTGTCTGGGCTCAAAAAAAATGTTTAGCAAAATTCAAATCAACAAGGGAGGACAGAATTCTCCAGCCTTGGAAACTCCAAAAAGAGAAGAAGATATTATTTATACCCCGTCCTTCACAACAGATACCCTGTGAGGCAAGTGGGACTGAGAGAGCTTTGAGAGAACTGCTCTTTCAATAACAGCTCTGACAGAACTATGGCTTACCCAAGGTCATCCAGCAGCTGCAAGTGGAGGAGTGGAGAAATCAAACCCGGTTCTCCCAGATTAGAGTACGCGCACTTAACCACTACACCAAATAGGTTCCCTGTGCATTTGATGTGTCTAGCTTGCACTTTTAAACCTGTGCCTGACATTTCCAGTAAAAGCATTTTCCTGAGGGCATCTTCTTTGGAGGGCAATAACTCAGACCCCCTAAGTCTACACATAACATGGAGGGCATGTAGAGGAGCATCCAGGGGAGGTCCCCTGCAAGTTTGATGTATCTAGCTTGTACAAGGTCCATTCTATACACTCCTGGACTTGCACCTGTCAAAATAATCAGTTGTCATTTCCTCAGAAAGTACTTTCCAGGGGGAACCTCCTTTGGGGGTTGTAACTCGGACCCCATAAATCCAACCCTCACCACGCTTGGAAGGCAGGTAGAGGAGAGTCAGCCAGAGATTCCCCTACAAGTTTGGTATCTATAGCACACCAGAGGGGGTGTTCTACTGCATCACGAACAACACAAACCGAACCAATTCATTTGGCAGCTAAAACTTTGTGACGGTTCACAAACCAGGCATGCCATGAACCATAAACGAAACTGCATTTTCCCACTTCATGCCCATCCCTACTTGGCATACAGAGGTGGCAGAGTCCTGTCCAGGGGTACTGGGTGCTGGACATACATGCATGAATTAGGTGCATTGTTCTCTTGTTAACATTTTTGTGTGCAATGACATCTGAAAGAGGGTCATGGTCAATGTTCCCTATAAGGTGTGCAGTCTCATAAGCAGAAATCTTACCATGTGAGCCAAAAGTGGCGTTAGCTTTAAAACTGTGAGCAGGCCAACATTTAAAAAAATATATATTTCAGTGTACAAACATACAAAACATACAGACAACATATATATTATTATCATTTGTATTACAAGCCATATATTTGTATTAAACTTATTTATATTTATATGGAACATACTATATGACTTTTTCAAACTATATTTTAGAAATGATTTATACATCATAGCCATGAACAGTATCAAGTTAGCTAAGTCATCCTAGCCTCATGCCTTAACCTTATCTCCCCCCCCCCTTCTAATAATAAAGCATACACACCCTCTGCCTGCCAACTCCGGAGTGATCAGCCATGGTATTTTATTTTAATTAAGAGCCAACACTGAGAATGCTATTTGAAAATCATTACCCAACTCTGTTCAAATTGGGAAAATGCCCTCTTCACAGTGAGATTGCTGCATTATTGAGAAAGAGAGAACATGAAAATGCATTCTGTGGCAAGGTACCAACAAGGCTCACTGGCAGCTAAATACCAGTGGCAAAAGGAATAGCATACAAGGAAACCATATAGGTCTGGGGAAGGAGATTTGAACTGAGAATCCTGGAATTTACAGAGCTATTCTGAACTGAAATTGTGCAGGAGCATTTATAGCAGATTGAAAAAAACCACAGGAAAAATATATGGTGCATTACTGCTTTTTCCTAAAGCTTGACTTGGAGGAGGGAGTAACTTGCCCATGGCCTGCGGTCCTGCACGGATCCCAGACTGGGTGCTCTGGCCAGGGCCAGTGCCAGGTTTTTTTTCTGTACTAGGCGAGGTTACCTTCTGGCACACACACACACCCGTGTGCCCACCAATTTTCAAACTAGGAAGAATGAAAACCACAAAATTTGAAATTGCTAATTTCTTTTTTTAAAAAAAAATTGTGAGAACAAGTAATACAATCTCTGATTTTCCCCACCTCACTGGTGTGTGCTTCTAAACCCTGTCCTTCTAAGCCAGTTTGGTGCAGTGGTTAAGAGTGGTGGACTCTAATCTGAGAACTGGGTTTAATTCCCCACTCCTCCATATGCATCCAGCTGGGTGGCCTTGGGCCAGTCACTGCTCTGTCACAGCAGTTCTCTCAGAGGCCTCTCAGTCCCACAGGGTGTCTGTTGTGGGGAGAGGAAGGAAAGGAGATTGTAAGCTGCTCTGAGACTCTAAGTATGAATAAAGAAGATGTGTAATACTTGGAGGTTGGATGGCTTGGCCCTGACTTGAGCATCAGAGAGGCTGTTTAACTGGGGTTGTTCCTGGGCCATTTAGACTTCCCAGCCAGCCAGCCTGCTTCTCTTATACACAGAGAAGTCACCCACAGGCATACACAGAAGGCGTTTCTTTTTGTGAGAAACAACCAGAACTGTCAGGAGGCCCTCTTCTGAAAGTCTTCTGACTTCTTCCCACAGAGGGAAAATGTCTGCATAACCCCCTCCCCCCCGTTAGGGATGCCACCCTCCAGATGGGACCTGGGGACCTCTTGGAATTACACCTCATCTTGACTACAGAGATCAGTTCCCCTGGAGAAAATGAATGCTTTGGAGAGGGGACTCTATGGCATTGTGCCCCCCTCAGGTCCCTGTCCATCCCAGGCCCCATCCCCAAATCTCCAGATGTTTCCCAACCTGAAGTTGGCAACCCTACTCCCCCATCCCCTTCCGGTGGCCAGGGGGGACCTGGCAACCCTATGCCCAGTATTATACAGAGCAGAGCGGTGAGAAGACCAAGCCGGTCTCTGAATGGGTTATTGCATTGTTTTCCTGGTGCCCTATCGCTTTAAATATAGAAATGAACCCAGACCTGCACTCCCATTTAAAATAAAGCCAGGCCACCCGCCCAGGCTCCAACGCGGCCAGGGAACAAAGCGGGTAGCCACTAGGATCTTGGCTTCTTCTGTGCACTCAACCACCAGTGCCAAAAGCTGCCAAGGGGCTTCTTGCTGCTGCAGTGGCAGCCAGGGTGCCCCACCGGAGCCAGCCCTGCACTAAAGGGACACAGGGGGGCAGGGAGAGGAGAAGAGATGAGCCAGGCGGTGGAGGGATAGGAACTGCGCTTCACTGAGGAAGGACAACAAGAGCGGCGCGAGGGGGCTCTCTGTGCGGCGACGCGTCTCTTCCTGCCCAGGCAAGAGCGGGAGAGGGAGGGATGGACATGCAGGCACCCCGTGCTCTCCTCTGCTTCTCCTCATCGCCTTTTGCTCACCCACCCGCAGCGCTGCAAAGATTCACCTTGGCCATTGGGAAGCCCCTGCGCTGTGAAAAAAATTGCTGCGCTGATCGGGGAAAATTGGCACGCCAGCGTAGCCTGGTGCAGCTAAAAGGGAACCTAGGTCATGGTCTACAATTTGATAGCCCACTGAGAAGCATTTTAATACATTCAAACCATTTCTCAAAGTACGTCCAAGGTTTTAAGAAGCTTTTAGAGTGCTGCCTCTAACTTGTAAAAATAACTTTTTTAAAAGCAAAACAATTAAATACCATAATTTCTTCTGTTTTGATTATCAGTTCACAGACTTTACATTCCTGGATTCTATAACAATTTATGGCTCCATCTCTTGAAAGATCCATTTGCTTACCAGGCATTCTAGCAGTCGTGCAGGCCGTGCAATGATGATCATCAGCTTTTTCACCAGCTGGGTAACAAAAGCCACCTCTGAGCTCTCTGATCGTTCGTGGGCCTATGGAAAGCACATCATACAATTGTTTAAAGTAGGAAGTGGTTTTTCAAACAACGAAAACAACAATCAGCTTTTTTACTATAATTAATACAAAACATAAGTAGAAAGCCATTAGCTCATTCTATGCTGTCAAAATGTGAATACTGTAACAAAGTATTACTATTGTGAAAGCTTTATTAACAGGGAAATCATTGGCTGACTTCAAGTGTCATGAACTAATCTGAGACATTCTATGCTGCCAAAATGTGAATACCGTAATAAAGTGAAGAGAAGAAGACGAGATTGGATTTATACCCCACTCTTCACTCGGAGTCTCAGAGCGGCTTACAAACTCCTTTCTCTGCCCCTCCCCACAACAGACACCCTGTGAGGTAGGTGGGGCTGAGAGAGCTCTTTCAAGAACTGTCCTTTCAAGGACAGCTCTTGTCAGAACTGTGGCTTGCCCAAGGTCATCCAGCAGCTGCAAGTGGAGGAGTGGGGAAGCAAACCCAGTTCTCCCAGATTAGAGTCTGCACACTTAACAGGAAAATCATTGGCTGACTTCAAGTATCATGAACTAATCTGAGACTAATAAATCCTTAGGAATTCTGGTTTATAAATACAAAAAAACTGCAATTTGTTAACATTCACAATTTGGATGTCAAAACCAACTGCAAATGACTGAAGACTTTCTGATTTGCAATTCCTTCAAATGCATGCAAGGCAGGAAAAGCAAGAGACTGTGGCTCATTTTAGGCACAAAACCAATTACATCAATACTATTTATACATAAAGGAATGACAATAAACTAGTTCAAGCTGTGGTTTGTGATGTAGGAACGTAGTCCCTGAAAAAATGAGGATGATTACGAAGTTTCCAATCAAACATTTATTCATTTAACTATTCTTTATGCCAGGACACTCTAGTTTGACATTTAGATTTACTGGGTCTTTACTTTTTATTAATGTCCTTTTATTATGTCATTACTTAAGAAAAGAAATGTTTAATTTTTTATTAAACAAAATAGAATGCACACAAGAACAGGGTCAAAAGGAAGCAGTAAGCTTCACTTAGCTATATAAAAATATGCAAAAATTTGCAAGTAAAAATATAATTGCACGACTAACATCGTACTATTAAGGAGTGATAGTAAACTAGTTTATATTGAGACAGCTAAAAGTTCCCTAGTAACTACTCTTGATGCACAGTATTCCTAAAACACACTGTTAAGCCTGAATCACATTGGGTTCATTAACATTTTGTTGCCTCAATAAATCTTCTGTGCTCCTTTTATAATCTTACTTAATAAGAGGTAAGCAACAACAAAAAGTGGTTTTCAGTCTTCCTTGTTGAGTGCAGTAACATCTATGAGAAGTATGCACAGGTCAGACTTCACCCTTCAGTTTTATAAGCACTCCAAAGGCACTGAAGACAAAGTACAGGTACGTTTTTTGTGATAATGAACAATGGTTTTGAAAAACCTCAGATACAGAGTTCAAAGGCCAGATGGGTGACAAACATCTGATCTCTGTATCTTGCAGAAACAACTGCTCAATCAAAAAATGCAGGCAACTAGCAAAATGAATTAATTAATGATGTTTGTGTTAAAAATCCATGCACAGATGAGCAATAAGAAAGCATAGGAAAACTAAGGAATATGCGGAAAAGGTAATCTCAAATCTTAAATGAAAACTTCCATATTCATTTTTAAAAGATAAGAATTACCCTCTTTTCCTAATTTTACACTGCTGGTCTATGACTATAACAAATAACAACTGCTACTACTACTGCATTACCCCTCTGTTGCGAAACTGTCAATTGCGTAATTTGGCTCACTTATTAAAATCACTGTTTTACACGATACAATTTGGCTCATCACAACACAGTCTAAAAATGTGTATAGTAAATACAGATCCAGTACCCAACAGTTTTATTCAAAATTTCACAGGAATACTTCATAGATCTTTTAAATTAAAGACATAGATATTCTATAATCCAATGCTATAATTATAAGGCATTTCAGCAATTTACCTTCCACTAAAGGCAACAATGCAAGATTCACTTTGATCAATTTAGACTGAACGTTATAAACCTAAAAGTAAAAATACTGTTTTAATCAATCCTCCAGGTTCATAAACTTAGTAAAATTATTATTATGAGGCTTTTTATTTAAGAAAAAACACCAATGTTTTAAATATTTAAAACTATTTCCACAGACCACCATGGACTAGCTTTGTTTAAAAACAAAGACTGAAGAAGGTAATCACACAATGTTACTTCCAAAAGTGTACAGGTAAAAACTGTAGGGTTAAAAAAAATCTTTCCTTTATCTAGACAACATTAAATTTAAAATGATTTATCAACACTTTAAAAATACTCTTTCAGTGTAAAGAAAATTAAGGCAAAGAAAAGTTTAAAGATCTTGTACAAATGGCCTCTGAATGTTTCTTAACATAGCCCAAAAATGATAAACGCAAGATTATAAAATAAGATTCCAGGATCACAAAAATCAAACACAACAAACACTCAGCCATGATATCCACAGAGCAATGCAGCTCCATTGCTGCTGCTTGTTTTTGTCTCTAAAAGAGTAGTTTTCTGGACATCTCCACATATGTTTTGTTCAGAAAACGTCCTGCCACTAGTGAATCTTGGATGTATGGGTCATATACCAAACAGTTGCCTATCACTCGTCTGTCTCTCCTTTGCATGATGCCTGCCATCTAATTCGCAGTCCTCAATGACAACATGCTTGTCTAAAGGTTGCTGGTGTCATTTCAGGTTTTTCTCCCACTCCTTGAGGAAAGGAGTGGGGAATGTGCAAGAGCTATGGGCTGATGCTAGTGCAATTCATTTACTGAAACCAAGCTATTTCCAGTATAACACATATACAGAAGGAGGCAATGGACAATTTATAAAGTGATTCCCTTATTTGAAAGACTCATCACTCACTAACTGTAGCTATTGGAGCATGAAATTAAAATCACTGTCCTCCCCTGGGGTTTAGCAGGACAAACAGCAGTGATATTCAAGTCACAATTTGGTAATTGAGCTAATGCATAGTTATGGACTCCCTCATGGATCACTGCCTTGTCGTGGCGAGGGGGCTTGAGCGGTTCGATGAAGCTGTGGGCCATGCCGTGAAGGGCCACCCAAGATGGACAGGCCACAGCAGAGAACTCAGACCAAGTGTGATCCACTGGAGAAGGAAATGGCAACCCACTCCAGTATCTTTGCCAAGAAAACCCCATGGACAGTAACAAAAGGCTAAAAGATATGACGCTGGAAGATGAGCCCCTCAGGTCAGAAGGTGTCCAATATGCTACTGAGGAAGAGCAGAGGGCAAGTACAAGTAACCCCAGAAAGAGTGAAGCGGCTGGGCCAAAGCCGAAAGGACGCTCAGTTGTGGATGTTTCTGATGGTGAAAGGAAAGTCCGATGCTGCAAAGAACAATACTACATAGGAACCTGGAATGTAAGATCTATGAATCAAGGTAAGCTTGACGTGGTCAAAAATGAGATGGCAAGACTGAACATCGATATCTTAGGAATCAGTGAACTAAAGTGGACAGGAATGGGCGAATTTAACTCAGAAGACCATTATATCTACTACTGTGGCCAGGAATCTCGTAGAAAAAATGGTGTGGCCTTTATAGTCAACAAGAGAGTGCAAAAGGCAGTACTGGGATACAATCTCAAAAATGACAGAATGATTTCTGTCCGATTCCAAGGCAAACCATTCAACATCACAGTAATCCAAGTCTATGCCCCAACCACTGATGCAGAAGAGGCTGAAGTGGACCGGTTCTATGAAGACCTACAACACCTCATAGAACTAACACCAAAAAATGATGTCCTCATCATCATAGGGGACTGGAATGCTAAAGTAGGAAGTCAAAAGGTAACCGGAATAACAGACAAGTTTGGCCTTGGAAAGCAAAATGAAGCAGGGCAAAGGTTAACAGAGTTTTGTCAAGAGAACACACTGGTCATAGCGAACACCCTTTTCCAACAACCTAAGAGGCGACTCTACACATGGACATCACCAGATGGGCAACACCGAAATCAGATTGACTATATAATTTGCAGTCAAAGATGGAGAAGCTCTATCCAGTCAGTAAAAACAAGACCTGGAGCTGACTGTGGTTCAGATCATGAGCTACTCATTGCAAAATTCAGACTTAAACTGAAGAAAATTGGGAAAACCACGAGGCCATTCAGGTTTGACCTAGATCGCATCCCTGATGAATATACAGTAGAGGTGAAGAATAGATTCAAGGGTCTGGATTTGATAGATAGAGTGCCTGAAGAACTATGGACAGAGGTTCGTGACATCGTACAGGAGGCAGCAATCACCACCATACCAAAGAAAAAGAAATGCAAGAAAGCAAAATGGCTTTCTGATGAGGCTTTACAAATAGCAGAGGAAAGAAGGAAAGCGAAAGGCAAAGGCGAAAAGGAAAGATTTACCCAACTGAACGCAGATTTCCAGAGAACAGCAAGGAGAGATAAGGAGGCCTTCCTGAATGAACAGTGCAAAGTAATAGAAGAAAACAATAGAATGGGAAGGACTAGAGATCTCTTCAAGAAAATTGGAGAAATCAAGGGAGCGTTCCATGCAAAGCTGGCCATGATAAAGGACAAAAACGGTAGGGACCTAACAGAAGCAGAAGAGATTAGGAAAAGATGGCAAGAATACACAGAAGAACTATACAAGAAAGACCTCAATGTCCTTGACAAACACGACGGTATAATCACTGACCTTGAGCCAGACATCCTGGAATGTGAAGTTAAATGGGCCTTAGAAAGCATTACTAACAACAAAGCTAGTGGAGGTGATGGTATTCCAGCTGAGCTATTCAAAGTCTTAGAAGATGATGCTGTTAAAGTTCTGCACTCCATTTGCCAGCAAATTTGGAAAACGCAACAGTGGCCACAGGATTGGAAAAGATCAGTATACATTCCAATCCCAAAGAAGGGCAATGCCAAGGAATGTTCAAACTATCGCACAATTGCACTCAT